GTGTGCACGTACACGTACGTGTGTACGTGCGTGCGTGTGTGCGTGTGTGTGTGTGTGTGTGTGCGTGTGTGTGTGTGTGTGTGTGCGTGTGTGTCTATGTGTACTAGTTATATATATATACGCCTAGTGAGAGCCCAAAATGGGCAATACACAGAATAATAATGTAGTACAAATATCTATCGCTATAAAGTTCACAGATCATCTTTTGTTCAAATTCTTTAGTCATTCTCTTTATGTTGAAGCATTCACAAGTTGTATGCACAAGACCTCTCCACTCCTGTCTGTACAACATTTTTCCACTGATCAAGAACATTACCACACCTCATAGCACCTTTGCAGGTATCCTTATATCTCAATTTAGGGCAACCAACAGATCGGGATCCATTTGCTAGCTCGCTGTATAGGAGTGCCTTTGCTGGTCTGTCATTACCCATTCTACAGACGTGGCCAAACCAACGCAGACGACTTCTAAATAGCTTCAACTCGATGTCTTCAACAGGCTCAACACCCGCTCTGTTCAGGACCTCCTCATTACTGATGTAATGATCCCATTTAATAGGCATGATTAAGCGCAGGTGACGTTGTTGTATTGTTCTCAGTTGTCGAACTTGATGATGGTGCAGAGTCCAGGTTTCACTGCCGTACATCAGAAGTGGCATAAGACACTGGTTCTAGACTTTGACTTTAGTGTTTATTGTAAGGTCACGTGAGTTGAACACTCTTTGACGTAGTCGACCAAATGCACATGATGTTGCTTGGATACGGGCTGCAAGTTCCTCTTTCATAGAGCAGTCATTTGTTACATAGCTGCCAAGGTATTTGAAGCGGGTGACGTTCGCTAACTTGGTGTCAGCTATGAAGAACTCAGCTTCAGTACCAATGCACATGGTCTCTGTCTTTGCAGTCTTAATACGTAGTCCCATCTTCTTAGCAAGGTCGTTGTAAGCTGTGAGTAACAAGTGTAGTCCCGCTGAAGTGTCACTGAATATGGCTAGTATATCGTCTGCATATTGAGCCTCCCTGATGTACTCGGTAAGAACTTTGGTCTTTGACTTCAGTCTTCGAAAATCAAATAGATCACCATCATAGCAAAATCTCACCTTTACACTGCAGGTGTGCTTGATTTTCTTATAAGCAAGACAAAGTAAAACAGCTGCATAGATGCCATAGAGTGTTGGTGCTAGCTTACAACCCTGCTTGACACCACTGTTGTACTCAAAGGCCTGTGTGAGTTCACCAAACACACACACACACACACACACACACACACGTACGACGCCGCCACCTACCGTCCTTCGGGCTGTATCGGGCGGCGTGTATGTCGCGGCCGCAGTAGTGGAACATGACGTCATGCGGCGTCTCGTCGGCGCGGCCCGTGATGAGCGGCCACACGTTGCGTCCGTCGATGACGCGGTTGGCGGGCAGCGGCACGTCGAGCACGTGGCACAGCGTCGGCAGCACGTCCATGAGCGACGTCGGCTGGTGGACGACGCGGCCCGCCGGCACGACGCCCGGCCACATCATCGCCGTCGGCACGCGCAGGGCACCCTCCATCCCGCCCATGCACTTACCACCTAGAGACGCCACCAGAGAGAGAGAGAGAGAGAGAGAGAGCATTCACACGATGATCGCAGCCGCTTCAGTCATCGAATCAGAGTACATTCCGACAGACATGCTCCAATGAGCACGTAGTCTGGACTTCACCTGTGTTGCTTAAATTTTCGGGTAACGCGCAGTGATTAACGCATGGCCTTCGTCGCATCGATTCCTTAGCTGGTGTGCGCATAATTTGGATATAATTTCCTTCGTTATGGGCGCGCAAACGTTTCTATTGATTCACGTTGCTCGCTAGCACCGCATCAGTCGGTCTACCGTAGCTCCTAGCGAGGGAACAAATGAAAGTGGCAATGACACTGTAGCTCACCTTGGGTGTGATAGAAGAGGAAGGGGGGGATATATAAAGCAAGAGTATATATGGGAGACCTCCCATTACATAGCATATCTCCCATTATGTACTCTTGATAATGATATATGCATAAGTTTTAATGCGAAAATAAATGTTTCAGATCTGAAAGTCTGAAATCTTGACGAGAGATGGTGCTACGCTTAAATGATCGCCATTTTGATTTTCGAATATCGCGCAAATAAAAACAATAAAATATTTCAGTCAAATTAGGTAACGAAAAATCTAAAACACAATATTACACGTATATAGGTATGATTGTAGAGTTGTTGACCAGTTAGACAAAATAAACGTAATAGGACGTTGTCATCTCTCCCATAGGAGCAACAACTGTTTTGGGGCTAGCCTTACACATTCACATACCAAAATTTAACAAAATCGAATGAATTTAGATGGCCATTTTCATTTTTGCCAAAAAGTTGGTCTGGCTCGAAAGTAGGTCGACTGGCGTGCTCCAAAATAGGAAGTTCAAATCTCTCCCATAGGAGTAACAACTGTATTCAATTTGAAACATGTGGGTCAAACGGTTCTTGAGTTATCGTTGACCATAGGCAGACACTGAAATGCATAGTGAAATTGCCAAAATCTATATAATTTGCATAATAATAATAAAAAACCAAAACCCGTGTGATATGTTTTGGGCCCAGTCCTTATTCATTCACATACTAGAAATGAGCAAAATCCGTTGAACCTGAACTGACTTATGGCCATTTCCATTTTTGCCAAAAAGTGGACGTGGCTCAAAAGTAGGTCGACTGGCGTGCTCCAAAATAGGACGTTCAAACCTCTCCCATAGGAGTAACAACTGCATGCAATTTGAAACATGTGGGTCAAACGGTTCTTGAGTTATCGTTGACCGTACGCAGACACTGAAATGCATAGTGAAATTGCCAAAATCTACCTAATTTGCATAATTAAAAATAAATAAAAACCTGTGTGATTAGGGTTGGGCCAGTCCTCATTCATTCACATACCAGAAATGAGCAAAATCCATTGAACCTGAACTGACTTGTGGCCATTTCCATTTTTGCCAAAAAGTGGATGCGGCTCGAATGTAGGTCAACTGGCGTGCTCCAAAATAAGACGTTCAAACCTCTCCCATAAGAGTAACAACTATATGCAATTTGAAACATGTGGGTCAAACGGTTCTTGACTTATCATTGACCGTAGCCAAATGTTGACGGACGGACAGACGGACAGACAGACGTACGACGGACGACACCCCATGGCAATAGCTCATCTTGACGATGTCAAGGCGAGCTAAAAATTATTGCCGAGGTGCTAAACGCGGACCGTTTTATGGTACTCGTATCTAAACAAAAGCAATTACGCGTGCAACGAGGCAAACCTCGATCTAATGCCGTCCCACAGCAGCTACAGACATGCCTTTGAATATGCCATTCCAGCCGCCTTCACGCTGTCCGTCAAGACCTCTCTCCTCGACATGTCCGCCCTGGTCAGACGTGAAGTAGATGAGGGTGTCGTTCTGCATTCCCAGCCTCCGCACCGCTTTCAGAAGTTCCCCAACACACCAGTCCAACTCTTCCACGTTGTCCCCATAGCGACCATGTCTGCTTCGTCCCTTGAACCTGGAAAATAAATCATCTTGATGTACAGCAATTCCCCGGTAAATGACAAAAATGCATGTATTGAGAAATTCCGTATTGACTTCTATTATATAATTGGAGATACGTTCCTACCAAATGTTTTATGGCCAAAACAAGTAGGAAATCCTGCGGTCTCTCCTGATACAAACACAGAAATGAATAAATGTTGAAGAACATGTATATTGACTATAGAACGATGTAACACAGGAAAAGAGTTCAGAATGAGAATTATTATTTGTAAAGTAGCATTCCAAATCTGGAATATACTGGATGCGGCGCACAAACTGTAACTTACACAATGACGAGTGCAAGCAAGCACTGTCAAGCACATATTATATTGATTATTTAATAAACGCAAGTAGGCAGTTTATATTGAAATATCATCCTTAGACGTACAGATAACATATAGCAGATTTTAGTGTAAAACCCCAATTAATTTCGTTGAAACAATATATGTAAAAGCACATTTTTATTTTGTATAGCTAGTGGCCATAACTTACAAATCATGCACGGGCGAATTTATGCAACTCGAGTTATCCCGTACGGGAGAATACTGTTGTTGTTACCACAGGCACTTAATTGGGACAGAGTCAGTAAAAACTGAAAATAATATGAACGCATATTCACAAATAGGCCCTACTACCGTACCTCTCAATTACAGTTCCACTGTTGCGTCACTGTATATCAACTTTCCTTCATAAAAATTAACGCCGAACGCTCCCGCACTCGCCGCTGCGAGTGTGCTGTGTCGCCATGATAATATATATATATATATCTTATATCTTATATCTTATATATAGCTTTATATATTATCATGGCGACACAGCACACTCGCAGCGGCGAGTGCGGGAGCGTTCGGTGTAAGTTTTTATGAAGGAAAGTTGATATACAGTGACGCAACAGTGGAACTGTAATTGAGAGGTACGGTAGTAGGGCCTATTTGCGAATGTGCGTTCATATTATTTTTAGTTTTTACTGACTCTGTCCTAAGTGCCTGTGGTTGTTCTGCAACAACAGCAATATTCCCATACAGCAATCTATGTTTCATTTATGGAGTAAATTAATGCATTTTAATTACGATCCGACATAAGCGAGGACGTACCGGTAGCAAGATTAACGTTGTATGCTCGGCGAAGAGAAATAGTTTTATGTAAAGCAGCTAGAGGTGTTTATAAATACTCGTTAAGTCTCGCAAAGAAAACAGCGCTTCAATTACGAGACGAAATAGAATATCCTATTATAAATAATCTTTTGCACGATCCTATGCATTACCCCATACCATAAATAAAATAGCAACGTTAATATCAAGAAATCACACAGTTGCCATAGCAACCTTTCCATTTCCATGCAAACAAAAATGAGCCTGATTGAAGCACTTGGGATACTTCCCGTCAGGCATAGGAACTGTGCGTCACCGCAATTCAATCGGCCTTGCCCCTCTACGACGTACGAAGCTGCAGGGAGACACGACAAGAAAGCCTCATAATTGGTTTAGAGCTTTCACGAATATAACAAACCGACGCTGCGTTTATTTGACCCTTTAATTAATGCGAAAATACACGAACACCAACCGATACTGTGTTCAGTTGCCCACCTAAAAGCGAAAATGCAAATACCAGCCACGCATAATACGTATCAGGAGGTACCCTGAGTGAGCGCGTATAGGCAACTCCATACAGATGAGCAATTTCCGCTCTCGTATATTTACAGCGAGGATAACATCTAGCTCTCAATACCGCGTCGAGTTTGTGCGAGGAAGTCGCATTTCGTGTTAAAGCAACGTAAATAGCGAACAGAGTCCCTTTTGCTTCAGCATCAACACTTAGCGGAAGACAGGGGCTAGGGAACAGCCCATCTATCTAGATCTGATGGCTATACATGGTCAAACGTCAATCTTGACGAAAGTGGCACACGTGTAGTACATGTGCTGGCGCAGTTGGACGTCCGATTTTCGTAAACACGAAGGAACGTTTCAGAAAAAAATGGCCAAGTAACACAGACGATGGAAAAATGTTCGACCTTTTAATAAAAGTGGTGCGCGCCAATATGGAAATCCGATTTTCGTTAAAACACCAGGCGGATTAACAGATTTCACGCGTAGAATAGAAAAGATCGCAGAAACAGTGTATGCGCTCACGCACACCCATGCGCGCGCACACACGCTCACACACACAGGCACTTGGACCGTTTCAATAATAAAATGATGGTTAATAAATACAACTTGTCAGTACTACTACTAGCCCTACCACTACCAGTACCACTACCAGTACCAGCAATAGTCTTAATGTTTGATATAACTTCACTTCAACACCGTCTAATACGCCGCTGCAACACATAGCCCGCACGCCATTGTGCATGCACAGATACACAGTAGGTTAGAACCTACTGTGTATCTGCTGTGTCTGCTCTGTAAGCTGCTGTATCTGCTGTGTAACTCTAACCTACTGTGTATCTGTGCATGCACAATGGCGTGCGGGCTATGTGTTGCAGCGGTGTATTGGACGGTGTTGAAGACGTGAAGTTATATCAAACATTAAGACTATTGCTGGTACTGGTACTGGTAGGCCTACTGAGTACTGGTAGGGCTAGTAGCAGTACTGACAAGTTGTATTTAATAATAATTATTAACCATCATTTTATTATTGAAACGGTCCAAGTGCCTGTGCTCACACACGTACGCACGCACGCACGCGCACACACACGCGCGCGCGCGCACGCACACACACACACGCGCGCGCGCACGCACGCACGCACGCACGCACACACGCACGCACACACACACACACACACACACACACACCTGCATACACTCTGCTTTAATAGTTGTATAAAATAGCTGCTCTGGATACCTTGATGAAACCCTCTCTTCAGGTTTCTGGTCATTCTTCCATTACATACGCCTAGATTATTTATGCATCTGCTAAAAGCATTTGAAACATTTCATCGTATAGTGCATATCATATCATCATTGTATATTTCATCGTATATCTGCATTTCGTAACGATAAAGGATATCAACACTTGTACCATGAATACTATGTTACTATATGAATACTATATATGCAACGTATACTACGTTCATGCTTATACTGGAAATATATATATATATTTTCTTTTCTTTTTACTGGGAATATATATTAATAAGGTGCTACTAGTATATTCAAAGCAAAGACCAATATACGTTCCTATTTGTTCGTAAATGGAGACCATACGAGAAGAATACGTGAGACGCGTCTTCGAAAACACTTTAATAAGTACGAAACTACTAATAAGTATGGAAGTACTTATTATGACGAAAAACCATTCTCAAATACGCGCAGATAACACTTGAGTAGCGTCTTTCGACGCGTATAGATCTCGATCTGCAGAAAATACGCCAATCCTGTCACTTTCCCCACCACCACTGCTGGAAAAACAGTTTTACATAACAAGCTAGCTCCATACATCAGAAATCTCGCGGAAAACGCGTAAAAATCTGTGCAGCATGTCCTACTAACCGTCAACGACAACGGGACGATCTTTTCTCTTTTGAAACTCGGACCGCGTTACGCATGACGGACTCTCAATCGCTGCTGATCAACGGCAATCACGCAGCCGTGTCACAGATCTTCTATCGGAATCCGGCGCTCGCCGATCGATCGAGCAGTCGTCAGCTCTCCGCGCTTCAAGCGGCCGCCGACACGACATCTGCCGTCACACTTTTGATCGATCAGCGAGCGGGGTTGCAGCCCGAGGCGGTAGAAGGCGAGTGAAGCGGAGTCGGAGCACTCGACCACCGCGCGCAACGGGCCTATATACATGGCGATGTTTGTGATAGACAGCCCCCCCCCCCAACCACCCAACCAACCGCTGTAGCATGACCATCTCACCCCCAGTGACGAGACACGCACGCACGCACGCACGCACGCACGCACGCACGTGATTGATTGACACATCGGGGATTTGATCTTCAATTGCCCGACAACAATGAGCAATTAGTGAGGAGGAATCCCGTGAGTATACTCGCAGGCAGGCAGGCAGGCTTCGCTCGGTCTCTCACGCGCGTGAGTATATACTCGCAGGCAGGCAGGCTTCGCTCGGTCTCTCACGCGCGTGAGTATACTCGCAGGCAGGCAGGCTTCGCTCAGTCTCTCACGCGCGTGACTATACTCGCAGGCAGGCTTCGCTCGGTCCCTCACGCGCGTGAGTACTCGCAGGCATCATCCGCGCTTCACACATCCCCCCACCAGCAGCAACGTTTAGTTCGAACGCGGCGAGTGCGTCGGTGTGGATCGCTGGCGTGGCGGTGATAGCTGCACTCACCAACTACCACCGGAAGCGCTTGCTGCCAGCGATTCACTGCTGCCGCCGACTCGCATGCCACACAGGTGGTTTACGTATCGCTTACAAGATCATTTGTTAGGGTGAGAAGATGTGCAGCGTAGTGCCTTTATAGAGTTAAAAGAAAATCCCACGTGAAGCAAAAAAAAAAGTACGCTCCACCTGAGCGTTAATATGCAGTTATAGAATTTTACGAGATGGGATACGTTTGAAAAGCAAGTATAATGCCAGGTAACAGCTATAGTGAATGAACAAGCTGCAGCTAGAAGGCAACAAATAATCGTAATATATTTATACTATATTAAATTATATAGAAGATTCCGGCGAGATATCGTCTGGTTTGTTAAATATTTATGGCGTTCGTGTGCCGCTTGGGGTCTTAAACCGCATGCAGCGATAATAAACATCAGAGAAAAGGGGGCCATATGCCACCGGAGAGATGACAAGCACCGTTGCAGTGTAATGTACACAGTTTTGCCTTGCAGCCAATCATGGATACACTGCGTGCAAATATTCGTTGAGGACAATCCCATGATTACCAAACGTGACGAAGCAAATCAATGGTGCCAAACATCGGCCACCCTTCCTTGCATGCATGCTAAGATAATCCCACTACGTCAGCACCCTTGCCTCACGAAGATCCGACCACGCGTATTGATTTGTAGACATCCGACTGTTGACCATAATCGGGAATGAACTGCACGATGTATAAATATCCTATCGCTCGTGTTCTCTTACACCAGGCTGTACGCCAAGCTATAATATGACTCACCGTCTACAAAATCACAAGCTCAAAAACCACGAGACCGGGATTAATTCAATGACAGCGCAGATAACACGCGACGTCTGCACGCCAGCATGTCACGTTCGGCTTCCCTAATTAGATATACGGTAAGAGCGCCAAGATTCACGAACTAGCCCCATAACACCATCGCAAACAGTATATGACGCATACACGTTACTTACGCCACAGTGAGCGTGCAACTAGAGACGGCGGCCATATTTGTCGAGAACGCCGCCGACATCTCGTTAATGTCATCTTGTCTACACTGTTGCTCGATCACTCTTAATTACAAGATAATATAGCCAGAAAATTAAGGCTAGTCATCGTGCTTATTAAAGCAATATGACCCATGCGCAAAACACTCGTGATCTCACTTATTAGATTTAATTCAATAAAGTTGGACATTAAACAAATTATATTGAGGTTGTTAAAATTATTATCTCTCAAATAAATCGAAAAATAATAACATGTAGAACAAGTGCTGCGGAGCGACAGCGCTCATCTAACGTCTACTGTGGTGGAATGGTGGGATTCTAGTAAACCCTGTTAGTCCCAAATGTGTTCACATACGCGCCGAAACAGTGGAAGGCACAGGGATGGTATCAGGAACCTTCTCAAAGGAATGTTCGTTGGGATCGTTATGAAAGTTGCCACGAGATGGCGCGTACGTTTAAGTGTCTTCAGATTAAAGATGGAAGCTCCCATCGTACGTAGTAGCAACAACTATTTGCAAGACAGAATAGGTAAGCACTCATCCATTTACCTACGCAAGCCTACAGGCTAAAATAGAGAGCTGCCACCTGTAACTAATTAACGCACTAGCAGTGGCCACTGGCAGTGGCATACGTTACATGTAACACACTGACAGTACAGAATGCCATAGAAATTATACGATTTAAGGAGCATAAACCTTCTTCAACCAAATTTAGCTTTTGAAATTTCACTGTGACATTGTAGCCTCATACATCCAGGCATGTATAGATTCTACTAGCAAACCCGGCAGTCAAATTCTTTCTAACAGTAACAGTAAACAAATCCATGTTTAACCCGCCTCTTGAGGGTCAAAAGGTTATCCGACACTTACTCTTCGCATGTCAGCAGAAAGTACATTTCATGGTCCTTTCAATAAAGCCATAAAAATGCTAGGTCACCACTGAAACAAAAAAGTTTTTCAATCGCTCCGTCAGACCATGTCCTCAGAAAATGTCTAAAATCTGCCCTGTGCCCATTGACCTTTGACCTGTGACCTCCAATTTCGGCACAGTGATGGCTTTTCCTACCATGATGCTGTACACCGACTATCACGAGCCTAGGTCGAGCCGTTTAGATTTGTGCCGCAATTCTGCATTTCCTCCCTATTCCTTAAATTAAGGAGGGAATGTTCCCCCTTCTTTTACACCTCTTGACCTTTGACCTTTGACCCCAGCTTCGACATCTCAACTCGTTTTCGGATTACCCCCCCACGTCCCGACTTTCGAATTCGTACGTCGAGCCGTTTAGATTGGTGCCCAACTGTTGACGGATGGACGGACGGACGCACGGACGATCATGCGATTCTACAAGCTGCATCTGACTTCGTCAGATGAGATAAAAATTAGGTCTAGATGTAGAATTAAATAATCGAATTAGTGGAAATATTACTTATTACTGCGGCGAAAAAATTACCACAAGTTTGTTATTACAGGCTATAAAACAGCAAATAAACAACAAAAAAGCTTCGTAAAATTAAAACCTATATGGCTAAAGCACAATTAAGTGCGCCTGATTTTGAGAGATAAATTGTTCTAGACTAATACGTTTCCTTTCTCGACATGTATAAGGTAGCAAAGTGTAGAGTCGGGGTACCAGTTGATGGCATCTTGTGAGAATACCCTGCTATTGCTGTTAACATGTGTAACCAAATCTACTTCAAACTGATAAAAACTGGCATATATTGCTGAAAATAATGATATGTCAGTTTTTCAATACATGTTAGCATTAGAGAATACACTTGGTGTTTAAAAAAAAGGAGCTACAGCAAGTATCAAAGGGAGGGGAGGGTACAATATGGGAACAGTTGGGAAAACATAAAAAATCATTACCTAGCTGTGTGGGCTAAAGTATCAAGTGCTGGTTAAAGTTTGTCATTATTAATTTAGGCAGGTCAGTATGACTAAGAGCTGAGAGTGTTGACTGGAACATGGCACTTAATTAATTAGTGTTAGCTTTGGGTTTGGCATGGGTTGTTGTCATTGTCTCTCTGGTTGTTGTTGTTGCTATTCGACTGTTAGGTTGTTGAATGCGGTGTTGGTCAGGGAGATGAGTGACGGGTATTAGGTGGGAGTGCCGGTTGGGACTCGTCACGGCTTAAGCTGGGTTTACACTACCGACTTTGTGTTGGCGAATTGGCGAACTGGACGAACTTCCCAACTATACAACCGACAATCGGCAATGTAAATGCAAAAGTTGCGCGACTAACTGATTGACAGCAACTAATTGGGAGATTAGAACACGTTCTATTTTTGTCAACTCGGAGTTGCCGAATTGCGAAATTGGTCCAACTGGCCAATTCGCCAACATGAAGTCGGTAGTGTAAACCCAGCCTTATGCTGCCCGGCCAGCGCGCGACTCACACCTACCGGTCGGCCGTGTGCAGGTACGTGTGCACCTGCACGAACGACATGAAGAGCATGAACGGCTGACCGCTGTGCGAGCGCGCGGTCAGATACTCGAGCGCCTCGCTGACGAGCCGCTGCGACAGGTTGTCGAAGCGGATCGGCTGCTCGATGTAGTCAAAGTCGCGCATGATGACGCTGTTGATGAACGTCATGTCGCACATGACGAGGTAGAAGACGCCGATCGGGACCGTCGTGAGGAAGAGCAGCGCGTAGAAGCCGGCCTTGTGCACGAGCTTCTTGCGGCGCAGCAGCAGCGTCACGAGCGTGCCGACGAGCACAGTGCAGCCGAGGCCGACGTTCATGTTCGGCTTCGCCATCAGCATGACCGTGTTGCCGTCGCCGCTGAAGTCCTTCAGGTTGGTGAGCGGCAGGCCGTAGAAGTAGTCGAAGCCGTGGTTGAGCGGGTGGTGGCAGAAGTCGCCCTGCCACTCGCAGTTGATGCCCAGATGCCATTTGCCTGCAACGACCGAACGGCATCTAAAGCTGGGTTTACACTACCGACTTTATTGGCGAATTGGCGAATTCGACCAACTTCCCGACTTTACAACCGACAAGCGGCAGTGAAAACGTGAAAGTCGGGCGAGCAACTGGTCGAAAGCAACTGGTTGGGAGATTAGAACACGTTCTATTTTTGCCAACTCGAAGTTGCAGAATTGCGAAATTGGTCCAACTCGCCAATTTGACAACATGAAGTCGGTAGTGTAAACACAGCTTAACGTCTAGGAGACACGCTGCGGGCGACGACGATGACGACGCGAGCAAACGAGCAACGTTCGATTACGATTTTACAAGATTAGAAACTATGGTTTTATGTTAGCTTTTACACACGCATACGATGACGTTCGGCGACAACCGTAACAACGAACATATTTACAGTTGTTTTAAATTTCTAGCGACACGATTGTGCAGTATTACGTGAATGGCCAACTACAGCGCTGGACGTTTTCATCGGTATGTTTTAAAAACATTTCGTAGATCGCAATCGCAGATCGCATAGGATGCAGATCGCAATAGTGTCTGTCGGAAAGACCATTTTATGTCTTCAGGGAAATTCGGGTTTATAAAATCGGAGGCATTTATTGTGCAAGGGCGCCCATCTAAAAAACACATTTGGCTATCCATAGCACAGGACTTCGAAATCAACGGTAAGCCCATAGAACATTCAATCGTTTCAAGTTTAAATGTCCGCCTTTATTTAGCGAGAAAAAAGACGAACATTGACCTAACGCCAGTAGTTAACGCATACAGTCTGGTTGGGGCCAGTCACTGCTACTCAGATACTGAATGTATTGGCTGAAGTCTACCGGGTGTGAACTAACAGCGAGGTAGGCAGAGTACACTAGATGGTAAGAAAGTTGATAATGAGATTTGCTAGCAATAATGTAAATGGTCATGCATTAAAGGTGTGTGATTCCTGTTACACTGATTAGTGATAAAATGGTGATCTGATCTCTGGCAGGGTGGTAATCGGTGCATGAGTAAGGCCAGATTGAGACATCTGAAAAGGTTGCTTCACAGTAATAAAGGGTGGCGTTCTCACGAGCGTACATACAACCCTGGCAGCGTGTTGCACCGCTTACTGGCGCAGATGGGGTCGTTGTCGTATCAGGTACTACAGATATGTACATCTGTGCATCAGTTGATGATACACAGAAATCTGTGCATCACTTCGTGATACCTAAGGTGCCTAAAGTGGAGTTGCACCTATGATGACATCAATACATCTTTTTTGTTATACACAATAATGTATCATATTACTATCAGTATCACTGTAGTATCAGTATCACATACTTGAGTGAAAATCTGAAAATGATGATTATCCATTTGTACATTCTTTAAATTGAAAACAGAAGTAATTGATTCACCAGGTATTCAAGTTGATCACACGTGGTTTGAGTACATATTTCGCCACTGGTATTCAACATACAGGTGACGTTGATCACGTGTGGTTTGAATAGACCATGGACGCCCTTCTATGTGTGAAATCTACCTGCGCTTCTGACGCCCTCCAGAGGGCGTTTGCAGGGCGCCCTGCAGACGACCTCCGGAGGGCGTTTGCAGGGCGCCCTGCAGACGCCCTTCTGTGTGTGAAATCTACCTGCCCTTCTGACGCCCTGTTTGCAGGGCGCCCTTCTGCAGGAGGGCGTACCTAATTTGCATATTTGGAATAGCCCTACAAACGCCCTGCATTCGCCCTGCAAACGCCCTGCAAACGCCCTTCTTCACTATACAACTAAACTGGAGGGCGTTTGAGGGGCGTACGCCCTTCTACAGAAGGGCGCCCTCCAGAAACTTTCTCAAGACGCCCTTCTAACGCCCTGCAAACGCCCTTCAAACGCCCTGCAAAAATGTTAGGGCGAGCAGTCTTGCCGCAGTTTTTACGTTTGCCTGTGTTCTCCTTGCAAAATGTGTGCTGTGTGCTGAGTTTTCCCAGCAAGACACGCATGTGTTAGCCCAGCCAGGCCTGTGTTCTCCAGGCCATGCAGGCCTGCCTGTGTTCCCCCAGCAAGACACGCCTGTGTTAATTAGCCCAGCCAGGCCTGTGTTCACCAGGCCAGGCCTGCCTGTGTTCTCCCAGAAAGACCTGCCTAGCTGTGTTAGCCCAGCCAGCCCTAGCCCTGCCTGTGTTCTCCCAGCAAGGCCTGCCTTTGTTCTCCCAGCCAGGCCTGCATGTGCTAGGTTAGGGTTAGGGTTAGGGTTAGGGTTAGGGTTAGGGTTAGGGTTAGGGTTAGGGTTAGTGTTAGTGTTAGGGTTAGTGTTAGGGTTAGGGTACACTTCTGTAGTACAAGTCTGGTACACTTTGTGTATACATATATATGTACCTCGGGTACATATCTGTAGTACCTGATACGACAACGACCCCTGGAGTCACTTGTTTGTGTCGACGTGGGGAAAAGACAAGGACCAAATCTAAAAGGACTGCGGGACAACAGGGCATGTTCTGATTACTGGAAATTAGATCAAATTAGGTCGAAGGTTTTTGTGCCCCAGCAAATTAACGTTGCAACCGAGACCATTGTTCCCTTTACTCACTGCATCGAGTAATTGATTAGTTGGAAACGGCCAGTCACATCTCTCCAAAACTCACTTCGACAAGCTCTAAACGAATAGGAAGGGAAAGACACTTCTGCTTACCTATAAGCGCTGTGGAGTATCCAGCTTCTTTTAGAATCTCAGGCATAGTCGTTTCGTTCTGCGGCAAGCCTCCCGCGCTCGCCACAAAGGTCATGACTCTCAGGAGACCGCTTGGCGCCACCCCTACAAGCCAATCAATCAGTATTAATGAGCAATCACTCAGTCGCCTACACACAATCCAGGTGAATAGAATGCAGTGCAGCTGAGGTGGGAACTAGATACAAAAGGACGACCAATGAATCACGCATCCACTTCACTGCAACCAGTAACGTGTGATCAGATTACAAACTGGCCATCTGTCTCTATAGTGATCGAGATGTCCTCGTGTCCTTTTTACTACAGGATTTACAACTGAGGCCGTATGCCTTCCCAGAATAATCTAGGCATCCCACTACTGTCAATCCCGTATCTTACTATAATTTGGCGAATGTTGTGTGTGTGTGTGTGTGTGTGTGTGTGTGTGCGTGCGTGCGTGCGTGCGTGCGTACATGGTGCATGCATGTATGGAAATGAAACATGGTTCATACAGAAGGACTGAAATTTTTTCCAATAACTTTTCAAGGACTTTTCAAGGACATTTTATCAGAAATTCAAGAACATTTTATCAGACATTTTATCGGAATTCATACACAGAACAAAACATACCTGGATTAATTTAATAACACCATTCTTAATCACTGCATGTCACCTCTAAAACTTACCTGGATCACATTAATAAACCCTTCTAAACCAGTGAAAAAAATACATGGGGGCTCGGGGCGATTTAGCCCCCGAAATGCCAGAAAGAGCCCCGGAAATGCCAAAAAGAGCCCCCGTAAATTTGCATAGAGTTCAATGCAAACCAAATTTTAGAGTGCTATTTTCATGCACGCGAGCTTGAAAAGTAGCCCCCGAAAAATAAATTTTATTTTTTCCCCTGTTCTAAATTAACACTGTCATTTCCACAACATACCTTGATTTACTGACTGATTTTACTGACTTACTGTAATTTGTAATCATCATTTAACTGTCTATCGTGTCTATAGCTTTTTACGCTCATTTAATGCAATTTTTATTGAAGTTTGCACATAATTGATGGTACAAGATTTCTTTTTATTACAGGCAAGGATTCTTTCTAAAAATTCAAGGACATTTTCATGAAATTCAAGCACTTTTCATGCAAGCACAAAATCAAGATTTACTAAATTCAAGTACTTTTCAAGGACTCCCCTCAAATTCAAGGACTTTCGAGGACTGTGCGAACCATGTGAAAGGCTCCGTCAGTTTGGATCCAAATAGCGCCTAATTCACAGAAGAGATCGATGAATACACGGGACGGGTTCTATAAACTATACTCGGTTGAAAACCGTAAAAAAGGCTTAAAAAAGACAAAAAAAAAACAAAAAAGGTAAAGATTTGCGTAAAAATAGGGGGCGCTATATCTTTGCTATATATTTCGCAACGTCAAAGTAGAAATAATGAGCCAAGTAGAAATAAGCATGTAATAATGAAGTTAAATGTTCAGTAGCTATTTTGGCATAGTTTTCGATATGAGATGTACAAGTTGAATTTGATCAGAGCAGATATATGGGATCGGGGGCCGGTCGTGGATCACGTATTTCAGATTTCCGGCTATTCAAAGCTGTGCGGGCGTCGTGAACAGCGAGCTGTCAGCTGAAGTCCAGCCCAATGATCGAGATCTAACTTTGGAGTCCGTATCATCAACCAGTACATATATATAGCATACAATAAAAGATTTGTGTGTGGGTGTGTGTGTGTGTGTGTGTGTGTGTGTGTGTGTGTGTGTGTGTGTGTGATGTAATGTGTGTGTGTGTGTTGGTGTGTGTGTGTGTGTGTGTTGTGTGTTGTGTGTGTGTGTGTGTGTCGTGTGTGTGTGTGTGTGTGTGTGTGTGTGTGTGTGTTTGTATTTCACTGTGTACTTGCCAAACAAATGATTAATGTGTTACGTGTAAGCATGATTTTACATCTATTTCTATTGACATCTCAACCATAAAAAACAAACAAACATGTGCAACAGGTAATCAAGCGGACACTGATCATATACTACTGTTACTGCATGCTGTGGGAAATGTACCAGACGTTGTGCGGAAATATATGCACTGAGTGTCGTTTGTGAGGTTAACGGGCGGGCACACTCGAGTGCTTATATAAGGTGATAATACAATGTCTTTGATAAGGTGAAAATACAATGTCTATCATTCATTTAGGAAATTGTGGTTAGAGAACGGGGAGCGGGTTATAGTCGAATGGTTAGAAAGTATATCTTCGATATGTAGGATTAGATGGTTTATATAGATTTAAGTATCCGACACTGTAAATGCATGGCAGCAGATAAACTCTGGTCCATCTACCAAAAATTGAAACTAGACACTCGCTGTGACGTATAATAACTTTCTTCTGCTTGTGTCAATTTACAACGCAATGAACGCACTCTTCCAGAAAGCTTTTAACTGCTGCTGGCAACATGCAACTTCAACGCATGCACACACCAGTGATGTCACATCGCAACACAATTCAACCGGATAATCAGACGATCGGACTAGTCACGAGATGCTCTATAGTGCCCAGTGTGTTGTCGCCGCCCAGAATCACACTGAATAATGTCATAGGCTAACAACAATCCCCTGTCATGAGCGACTAGCAATTAAGAGAAGAGCATACACGTATTGATCACTATATCTTTCGCTCCTACGCCTTAGTCCCAAAGCGAACAGAACTGTTGGCTCTATACTAGTAGGATAAGTGAAACCTTGAAACTGTTACGTCTCGGATATATATGGCAATTGACATTTTCATTACCGACACAAGAATGTCAACTGAGAATCGATGTCCTGTTCCCACTAGAGTAGAACATTTGCCTATTATTGAATGACACAGCTGTGTCAGTATAGTGACAATCAGTGAATGATCCTTGGATATAAGCAGATCATACAGTCTACCAATCCTAATTGATCATTGCAGCAGAGAAATCCAATTTCAAGCGCCGTGCATTTGAGGTCAGACTTCCTTTCTGGACCCGGCTCACACGTGAGTAATTTTACTCAAGTAAAATGACGCATATGCGTCAAAATACTCACGCGTAGTAATATTTTCAGCGTTCCCCGCACACGTGAGTAAAATTACTCAAGGAATAAGTGGATATGCAGATCACGTGACTGTGCGCAGCCAATACTGGGCGCACAATAATTTAAACGCATGCGCTGTGAGTACCCGTGTTGAGTAAATTTACTCAGGGCGCGCGCACACGTTGAGTAAAATGACGAATGAGTCCAAAATTATCAAACACGTTTGATATTGAGTAAAATGACGCATGCATCAAATATTACTCAACGAAAATCCGCCGCACACGTAAGTAAAATGACTCATGCGTTAATTTATTTGAGTAAAATTACTCACGTGTGCGCCGGGCTTTACACACAAAGACGCAACAAGCTTAACGGTGCTCAGTACTCACCAATTAACTTATAATCTAGAGTGACTGAGTCATTAACAGAAAATCGACTATTATGGAGAACTATTATGGAGTCCTAAGAGAAATCTTCTATTATTAACTCTTGTTATAATCCAACTCACTGACTAAATAATAAATATATTCTACACCGCACGCATGCTGTAATACAGCTGACTTGCTCTACGAAGCCTCAGGGATACCGATAATTTAACTGTAATGCGCGAATTCTCGCATTGGAAAGATACAGTTGCAGCTGCCTATTAATAGGTAATTATACGCGTTCGACTAACGGCGCGTGTCATTTTATCGCCATCCCGCCCCATCGCCATCGTCATTTTATCGCCATCCCGCCCTTAAGTGAAAACCTCGGACACCTATAGTCGGTCCAGTGCAACATGCTGGACTAATGGCACACAAAATATGGTACTACATTTGTACATTAAGACAGATTGTACAGATTTGCAGTTTAAAACAGGTGAAAACAGAAAGATAGAACAAGTGTGAGAATTAAGGTAAAAGAACCAGGAGATGGGCTAATTAATCACGGTTCATTGTGGCAATGGACGGGTTGGTTTTGAGCCAACCTACGAAATCATCTGACATGTCAGAAATGCACTATACATGTAGATTATTACGAGAAACTTCATGTATTTCTTTTTTTTAATTATCTCGCTTGATCTCCAATTAATATTATGAACGTGCATTATGACGTTTTTTGCTATGGCTATTAGGTAACTAATTAAACAAAATATATGATACCTGCATCGTAGAACATGAAAATATTTTCATTTATAAAACTAGACTACTTTAATTAAATGCGCATCAATAAAACTTTAACATCATTTGTCTAATTGGAAATACTGTACCCATTTAATGTTTTTGTAGCGTTTGTGTCTGCAAGCTAGCTAGGGTGCATGCGTGTACGTATGTATTTCGCTTGTGTGGCTGTGAACGCGCGGCGAATGCACAGTTCATTCAGCTGATTCATTAGAGTATATTGACACAATGAGAACATGTAGGCACTTTCATGAAAGCGCGCGCGCAATGTACACAGTTCGTCCAGGAAACATTTACACATCCTTTGTCCTTAGCCACGCGTTTAGTAGCTACCAAAGCACGATAGTCGAATCACGTGTATTCTGTGCATACATACGGGCACGTTAACCCACGCAGACACGCACGCACGCACGCACGCACGCACACACCAGTGCACGAACCTACCCTACGCACACGCGCACGTACAAAAGTGGGTGGGTGTACACAAACTGGCAGAGAGTTACAACAGTAGAGTTACAGCGTGAGATAGCGAGGTAGGTATGGAGGGGGAAGGAGGAGGGAGGAGGAGATGGAGGGATGGAGGGAAGGAGTGAGGGAGTGAGGGAGACTGCATGGGAAAGGGCGGAAGGAACGAGAAAAAGAAGGAAGGGCGGAGAGCGACTGTGATGAATATACTTTTACAAGGTCAATTTAACCATTCATGATAGAAGGCTTCTTTATACGCTCTTGATAGAATCAATAAAAATCACTCGTGTTACAGGCTTTACAGGTTGGACGCAGGTTGGTTTACGCACAAACACATTGCGAACGGCATTCGGTAGGATTCTTTGGCGCAAAATTGGCAATTTCCTAAACTAGGAGATGATTTGCACCCATGCAGTCAGCAAAATCAGCT